GAGTGGATTGAATGTTTGAGGTTTAAGGTCAGAAATGGCACAAAAATGAAGTTTGTGTGCAAAATCTGATTTCAGGGAGTTTGAGGGAGTTTCAAGGCTTGTGAATTCGTGTGTTAGGTTGCAAATGACTTGTCTATTTATAGAGGAAATTTTGAGGGTTTGAAATAATCAGAAACAAGAAATCACATGTTATGGTTTTTTGACTTGTTTTTGAAGCAACATTGACAAACATTGTTCCAATGCATAGTACAAGAAAATCTAGAGTAGTTAGAGGCTTTAAATATGCTTATCTGATCTTGTATGTTGAGTTTGTTCAGAACAAACAAGTTAGAGGCTCGAGACAAGTTGACTTTATGATTAAAGCAACTTTACAAGAATGGCAATGTTACTTTGTGCCAAAAATAGATGAATCTTTTGGACAATGGCTCAAATACTTGGATCATATCTCTAACAGTTGTGTAAACAATTAATTATGGAGTTATTTGCACGTTAGAAGCCTGCAAAGCAAGATTTATGCAGCATGGCTTGAGATTTGATCAAGTGTTCATCATCAAAATGACCTATAATTCAAGAATGAAAGCTCAACTTCTTTTCTTCGATTCTCCTAGCTCAACCATGATCTCTTCAAGTTCTTGGACATTTTGAAAATCTTGAAACATTGCCTATAACTTTCATGTTGACCACCTTGGCTAAAACATCTTGGAACTATGTGAAAAATTGTCAAGAAGTTGGGACAAAAATCTACCTAACTTGTCAAAATTTTCACTAATTGCTTTATGAAAAATGTCATGACTTCATGGACTTATATTTTCAAATCTAAGCATTTTTTGGACAACTTTTATGTTGAAAGCTTTTCTTGAATCATCTTACATCTTGGTGAAAAATTGTCATGAAATAGTGAAATTATCAAGGTTAAAACACTTAGAATTTTTTAAAGTCTTGGAAATATTGACTTTTTGTGGATTTTCTTGACTTTCTTGATTCTTGATGATCAAGTTTGATATTTTTGAGTATATTGATGAATATTGATCTTTGAAATTCAATGTTGATCAAAAAGTCAAAGTTTGACTTTTTGTGTATCAGTTGACTTTTCATAAGTTGATCAAATTTCAAATATCAATTCATTGATCTTGAAAAATGTTGAGCCATGAAGTTAGGTCAACATGTTGTGTTTGAGTCCTTAATATTATACTCCAAGTCACCAAGTCATGTACTAGATCAAAAGTCAATGATCAGTCATTCTCAGTCAAAACTCTAATTTTGACCATTTTGCTCATTTTATTATTTGAGTGCTTTTCTTGAAGAATTGTGATCAACACTATCTATTGATGAATATGAATTCAAAATGTTGACGTTGGCCAAAAATCATGAATTTTGACTGTATATTGACCACAATACAAGTGAAATCATGCACAAACCACAAACAAAAAGGACATAAAAAGCATTCAAAGCTTGATAGGATAAAATGATGTTAGAAGTAGGAGAAAAATGAGAGAAATGGAATACAATATCACCAATTCAGTAGAATATGCCATGCCAAAGATTAGCCAAAAACTATACACACAAGTTCTTAAACACGAACTTTTTGATCAAGGCAAAAACCTAAGTATACTCCTAAGTCAAAATTAGCTTAAAAATAGGAAAATGTCTTATAAAATCATGATAATTAAATCCTAACTTCCTAAAGATCTATAAAAGTCAGAAACATCATTTGAAGTTCTTGGATTAACTTGGAAAGGTGAGAATGATTGGAAATCATCAAAACTAGTTAATATAGGGGTCAAACTAGAGGAGTTTAACAAAATTATTTCAAATAAAATGTAAAGTCAGTGGTACACAACCAAAAAAATCATTTATGTAACCTTAAATCATCCAAGAACATCAAACATATTTTCTTGATTTTTAGAAGTTGAGGAAGTTAGTGATAAATTTTTTTCTTTATTTCTTAAACAAGAGAAGGCCTAAAAAACAACTATTAACTTCTAAAATCTTTTAAAATAAGCAAACTGACATGAAAATCCAATTAAAAATCATAAAAAATTAGTTCAATACCTAAGAGTCAGTGAGTATATTTTTATTGGATTTTATCTCAAAAGAAAGAATTAAACAAAAATTATTTACACAATATATAAAAAAAAGTGATATAACCAATCAATTGATTAAATTTACATCCCAAAAAATTTGTAAAATAAGGAAAAAATATTTTCATGAAGAAGACTCAGAGGGTAACTTAAAACATTTTTTATGGATTTTTTAGATTAGTGAAAATAAGAAAATAAAATTCTAAAACCTAAAAGATGATTAAAACCCTAAATAAAATAGTTGAATTTATTTAATCATGAAAAAATGATGAAAAAATGAAATAAAAATCAGAATATGAAAATATATTGAAAAAAAGTTTAGAATATTTTTGTAATGATTTTTTAATAAAGAAAATTATTAAAACAAATTTAGAGAAAACAATGAAAATTCAAATAAAATGGGATCTCCTACACCTGTTTCAAACAGAATGCGCCGTAAAAGAAACTAAGATCATGTTCAATTGTGAAATTCCATGTAAGCATCCCTGTAATGATAAACAATGCCCTAACACAAAAACAGTTATGCATGGTGATGTTCACAGCTTGATATCTTTCTCGTTTCTTCATGAAAATGCATGATGTAACAGCCAATGCAGCGGAATATAACGAACTCCTTAACAATATTCAGACACAATGCTTACACCACTATTCAAGTACAAGCATGGCAACCTAGGATTGAAAAATAAACCCTACATACAACAGCTTCCCATTAAGGTGCAGGCCTGATGGCAACAGCCAGGAACAATACCTGTCACATATAACCAATGATCCTTGCCAAGAGATCATCCAAACAATAGTATGAATTGTCCAAGTACATACCTCTTTTCAGTAAATACTTTCTTCCTTGTCCATGACCAGAAAGTACCTTCCCAGAATCTCACCCAGAGCAGAACAGGATGCCTGCTTTGATACCAATTGAAATTCTGGTACAGTAGACTCAGATGTCATACAAGGATGTCGAGACATCTGATCTGACATAAACACACAGGAAATACAGTACTGAAAAGATAAAGAATACACCAAAACTGTTTACCCAATTCAGTGTACAACAACACCTACTCTGGGGGCTACCAAGCCAGGAATGAAGTCCACTATCAGTAGTATCAATTTGCAGACCCTACAGCCAACACACCCATTGACGATTTACACACTTAATCACTACCCAATGACCCTTATACCTAGGTTCTCCCTAGATATAAAATATCTCCATCCCACTTCCAATCATCTCAATGATGTCTAGCAGTCAACACCTCAGTCACTGCATCAATGGCCCTTCACCAAAATTCTGATCATACAGATAGAAGTTTGGAAGACACACTTCCATGACAACCTAGCTAAGTCTCCAAGCCACACTCCATTGTTTGTTAGCTTTGCTCCTAACTAAGAACACATCCTGAAGTTGCTTCAAATCTTCCTCCAAGAACAATACACCTCTTACCTACAGGCTTCGAGATGAACATGGTAAACTTCCTAACACCCGAGAGGTTTACCTTGACAAAACCCTAGACTTCTACATCTTGAGCCGTGTCTCTTCTGGATTACAAACCCTTCTATTTATAACTTGTTACCCAACTGGTTTTGGGCCTTCAATCACAACAAATCAACTGTAACAAACTGCAGAGACTTCTATCCCAAGAAAGGTCTTCAATCTTTACTTTCCTAAATAATCTCCTTATTTAGAAAGTCTTCATTCTCCTTGATTTCTTATTGAATTTTCTGGACCTTTAAATATGTGCCACATAGGATGCATAATATTCTCCTGAATATTCTGCTTATGTTAAGAACAAACTGAATCTCATTAATCCAGCTCAGCGGGCGCGATGTCAATACATCTTCTTTGACATGTTGTTCCAGTTGTTGAAAAAGTTCAACACAACATGTTCTGACATTGTAATAGGACTTCTTATTGTACTTGTTCTTCTTAGCAAGTTTATACATCCTATTCTACATTACACTATTGCTGCTATTATTTGTCTTACAAAAATTAAGCCAATCCTAAAACAAGAGAACTAACACATGAGACACTTTTAGTGAGGAGAGAAAGAGAGAATAATAAGGAAATAAGGATTATATTATTCACTTGAATTGTTCAAATAATAATACAAATTATGACTATTTTATATATAAACCTGATTGAGCCTGGGCTTACCAACTTAGATTATATTTGATATTATATCTAATATCTCAACATATTTAATTTGAATTATATTTGATATTATATCTAATATCTCAACAGACTTTACTAACCTAAAGGTTGAGACAACCTTGCACACTCGAGCAACCATATCAACATTATCATGATCAAAAAATTCATTTCAATCTTTGTAATAATGTCTATGATACACTCTGCAGCAGAATGTTCACAGGTTTGTAGCACTCTTCGAGTGAGTGAGGACTCCTCCGAGAATTACAGAAAAGAAAAGAAGAGAATTTGGAAGGAAAAGAATCTTCTTTACTATTCAGCATAATGATTTGTTTACATCATAGCTATTAATAGGAATTGGATGCTAACAATCAGGAAAAAATAAAGGAAAGCAAACAGAATTATGCTAACAAAGTGCAACAGAAAATCCAGGAAACAAATTGCAGAAAAATCAGGATCTTCTAAGCCTTTCTTTCACGCACGTAGTCACTCATCCATGTTGGCTTCTTTATTACTCGTTTATGTAATGTTGGGCCACCATCCTCTATCTCAGTATTGTTTACATTTTGGGTCGTTAAGTTCCCATCATTCCTTATTGTTTCTGGATCAACTAGTTGGTTCATATCATTCTCCCCTTTTGTAAAACTCACCTTATCTTCAAGGTGAAAATCAAGATAACAGGTACGAAAAGTCTCGAAGTCTTCCCATGAAGCTTCATCAATTGGATAGCGCGCCCAAAGCACGAAGAGTTGTTCACGTGGGTGACTATGAACTAACTAAGTACGCCAATCTAAAATTTCATGTGGTTGATCAATAGCTTGGTTATCAAAGCTTTCCAAGGGTAAGTCACATGCTGACACATTATCAGTACCACGAAACGGCTTAAGAGCTGACGCATAGAAGACCAGGTGAATGTGACTACCAGAAGGAAGTTGTAGTTTGTATGTTATTGTCCCAATGCGCTCTAGCATGGTATAAGGACCATAGAACCTCTTAGAGAGTTTGTGTTGTCTATGTTGACGGACTGGTGTTTTGTGATACGGGTGGAGGTGCACTAGAACCAAATCATCAACAGTGAGAGTAATGTCGCGATGATGTGCATTGGCCTTCTGATGCATTCTGTTTTGAGCAGCGGTCAAATTTTCCTTCAAAGTGCGGAGTAATTCGTCACGAGAAGTGAGGGACTCGTCCAACACTTGTATAGAAGATCCCCTAGCGTATTCCAGAATGGTGGGTGGTTTTCGATCGTAAAGAGCCTCAAACGGGGACATTTGCAAGTTGCAAATGTCCCCGTTTGAGGCTCTTTACGATCGAAAACCACCCACCATGGTTGATGTATTATAATGAAATTTGGCCCAAGGGAGGAATGCAACCCATGAAGACGGTTTATGCTGAGTGAAAGCACGAAGATATTGTTCCAACCCACGGTTAACTACCTCTGTTTGGTTGTCAGTTTAGGGATGATAGGCACTACTCATAGTAAGTTTGGTGCCACTAAGTTCAAACAACCTGTGCCAAAAAGTGCTAATGAATATCGGGTCACGATCGGACACAATGGAACAGGGGTACCCATGGTGACACACAACCAAAGATACAAATAACTCGGCTACTTTGGAAGCGGTGAATGAGGTGGGGAGAGCACCGAAGTGAGTTGTTTTGGACAAATGATCCACAACAAAAAGGATAACAGTGGATCCTTGAAAGGGAGGTAAACCCGTGATAAAATCCATTGTCACGTCTTCCCAAACTTCTCTAGAATTGGAAGGGGTTGCAGGAGTCTGACGGGAACTTGAGTTGAGTACTTAATTTGTTGACAACCAAGACACGAGCCAACAAAATTTTCCACCGTTTTACACATACTGAACCAGTAGAAATTGGCAGCAACTCGAACCAGAGTATGTTTCATAATGGCATGGCCCCCACTTAGTGTATCATGAAACTCACTAATGATGGTATGACATAGGGGAGAGGTCAGTTTGAGCATATAACAGCCAGCATGTAAGAGGACCTGGTTCACGACGGTATAAGGGTACTGAAGCAATCCTTGTGCTTGTTGTTCATGAAAAGTCTGATAAAAAGAATCTGAAGCATTGTCTTTTTTGAGCTGAGTAATAATACTATATGTAGGTGATAACACTAATGCTCTGATTGTAGGTGTGTGTGCTCACACTTTGACCAGTCATCAGGCACGTGAGAAAGGGCGTCAGCCACTTTATTAGAAACCCCCGATTTGTACTCGATGGGAATTGGAATCCTAAGAGTTTGCACACATATGACTGTTGGTCTGGAGTTTGTATCACCTGCTGAAGTAATTCCTTGATGCTCTTATGATCCGCTCGGATGACAAAAAAAGGCCTAACAAGTATTGTCTCCATTTAAGAACATATTCTATAATGGCATGTAGTTCTTTGATGTAGACAGATGCAACTTATAATTTTGGGCCCAATTTCTTACTATAGAATGCAATGGGGTGGCCCTCTTGCATTAAAACAACTCCAATACCTTTGGACGCGTTAGTCTCAATTACAAAATCTTTAGAAAAGTCGGGCAAACTAAGGACAGGCGTGGAAAGCATAGCTTGCTTGAAGGCAAGGAAGGCCCGTTAAGCAGCTTCGTTCCAAGAGAAGGTGTCGTGCTTCGGGAGATCCGTTAAGGGAGAAGCTATACTGGCGTAATGGGAAATGGATTTTCTATAGTATCCAGTAAGGCCTAAGAACCCCCTAAGTTTCTTAACAGTTACTGGAGTTGGCCACTTTTCCATGGCTTCTAGCATGGCCAGATCTGCATGTACACCTTGAGAAGAAACAATATGGCATAAGTAGTCAATGGACTCTTGGCAGAAGAGACATTTGGATAATTTCACAAAAAAAAAACAATGAGTCTTCAAGAAAGTGAAAACCAATTCTAAGTGATGCAAGTGATCTTCAAGAGGGGTACTATATATCAGTATGTCATCAAAAAAACAATCACGAACTTCCGCGAGTATTGAGAAAACAACTGGTTCATAGTAGCTTGAAATGTTGACGGTGCGTTCGTAAGTCCAAACGACATCACTAGAAATTTAAAATGCCCCACATGTGTGCGAAACTCCATTTTAGAAGTGTCACGAGGATAAACCTGAATTTGATGGTACCCTGCACGCAACTCCAGTTTCGTAAAATATCTTGCGCCACCCAGCTCATCCAAAAGTTCATCAATGGTGAGAATTGGGAATTTATCCATAACCGTGACAGAATTCAAGGCCCGATAATCTACACAAAATCACCATGTACCATCTTTCTTCCTTACTAATATGACGGGTGAAGAAAATGGACTATGGCTAGGGACGATGATGCCTTGATCAAGCATTTCTCGGAATAACTTCTCCATTTCAGATTTTGGAAATTGAGGATACCGATAAGGCCTCACATTGACAGGCTTGGATCCTTCAACAAGATGGATGTGATGGTCAACTGTTTGATGGGGAGGTAACCCGGTGGGCATGTCAAAAACAGACTGAAAATGTTGTAATAAATCAGTAACTCTGACAGGTAGGTTGGGTGGAAAATTGATGGATGGTTCTGGAGAAGGGTCGGGGTCTTGGAGGGAAGTCGTGATGGTGAAAATACTGGTCACATTAATGGTGTGAACCAATGCCTGAAGCTGATGCAACGACATTGATTGTGAAGCTAGAGACGCATCACCCACTAAAGTAACTTGGGTCCCTTGTCACATGAACTCCATGGTGAGAGCTGAATAATCATAAGCCATTTTTCCCAAAGATTGCAACCAAGGAAAGCCCAACACAACATATGGACCTTCAATGTCCAAGATGAACAAATCCACCTCAAAATTAATGCCATGTAAGATAAGAGGAACACCATGGTAACAAAATTGACAAACCAAAAAGGTTCCACAACCAGTTGCGACCTTGAAAAAAGGGCATGGTTTGATAGGTAACTCTAATCGTTCCACCAATGTAGGCTTGACGAAGTTGTGAGTGCTCCCGCTGCCAATGATGATGGTGAAATTTTGTTGGTTATAAAGCCCTTAAACACAGAGGGATCGACTTTGGAGTTGGCTGGACAGGGAGTGAAGACTGGATATGTCACCAGAGACATCATTTGTTGAGGTATCCTCTGCTTCTGGTCGAGGGACATCTTCATACTCTCCCATGAGAAGAAGCACATGGTTCCGGCACCGGTGAGACGGGTTCCATTTCTCATCACATTTGAATTAAAGGCCTTTTGAACGACGGTCTCAGAGTTCGGCGGATGACATGTTACGAACTGGAAGGTTTGAGTGTGGTGTGGGTAAGAGTGATGGTAATGATGATGCAGTATTGTTGGATGGGTTATGAAGATTTGGGTTGGGTCGGGTCGGTTTGTTTGATTGTTGTTAGATTGGGTCGGGTTGGTAAGAGAATTGGGTTGGTTATGTGGTCCGGGTGAATGTTGTGGACCACGAGACCAAGGTTTGCCCACGGCGGATGTGTCATCAAAACGAGCCTCATATGCTCTGGCCATGGAAAAGGCTTCCATCAAAGTAACAGGTCGGTGAAATTGTAATTCCCGTCTCAAATGCTTTTTTAGTCCCGTAATGAAAAAACGGATAAGTAATGATTCAGAGATACCATTAACCTTGTTCATCAAATCTTCAAATTGGGCTTGAAAATCTGCCAAAAAGCCTGTTTGCGATAATTTGGATAGGTTACCTTCAATGTCCTCATACTGAGTTGGACCAAAACGGTGGCAAGCAGCAGCGAGAAGAATCAGCCACGATGATAACATATTGTTGCGTGTTGCCCACTCGAAGCATGCAACGTCCGTCGAGATGAAAAGCTACGATATGAAGTCAGGACTCTTTCAGTGTTTCATGGAAGTTGAAAAAAGATTCAATCTGAAAAATCCAATCCAAGAGATTTGAACCATCAAAACGTGGTACGCTTAATTTGAATGTATGTGTTGCCGCTCCGGCAAATCCAGTCTGAGCTTGTTTGCCTCCGACATGCAGATTTGCGACCTTCGAATCGACTTCCACTAGGTGCTGGTGGAGTGTGGAGTGAACTGACTCAGTGTGGGATTCGAGAAGCCCACACAACTCTTCCATTTGTGCATCGATTTTGGATTAAAGACCATTCATAATTTCAACAGTGTTCATGATGAAAGCACACCAATGATACACTATGCAGCAGAATGTTCACAGGCTTATAGCACTCTTCTAGTGAGTGACGACTCCTGAGAGAATTACGAAAAAGAAAAGAAGAGAATTTGCAGAAAAATCGAGATCTTCTAGGCCTTTCTTTCACACAAGTAGTCACTCATCCATGATGGCTTCGTCCGTAATGTTGGGCCACCATCCTCTATCTCAGTATTGTTTTCATTTTGGGCCGTTGGGTTTCCATCATTCCCTATTGGTTTTGGATCAACTAGTTGGTTCGTACCGGTCTATCACACTTCATAAGAAAATGTTTATCTTTGATAAAAAAAAATTAAAAAAAAACTTACCTTAAATTTAAATACCACGCCATTATAAAGAAGGTAAGGTAGCAACGCAAGTTGCTCTGCTCCATCGTGTTCCTTGTAAAGCTTATCTATTTGTCCCAAGTCATAATCAAAAAACTTGTTAACTTGGTAAATCTCCCTACTATTTTGAACCAGTGAAAATGACATAAACTATTCTAAAAGACAAAGATTAGAAAGGAAAAAAAAACAATAAATTTGGTTGATAATCACATCTCCCAGTAGTAATCAAGAGTCAATACACAGTGACGTGCAAGCCACAAACCACAATATTAAAATTAAGGATGATAGAGTATGATAAAATTAAGCATGATAGTGATTATGATTTATGAAATTTTATATGGTATTCACATAAATGAAAATAAATTTGCTGAAAAATTACATTCTGGAAACCCAAACCAAAAACGAAAAAGATTCGCTATTAAAAATTTACGTGTGAAAAAGATAAAACTATATTCAATTCTTGAATAAAATAAAATAAAATAAAGTAATGCTTTCAAGCCTCGCGTAATCAAGAATTTGTAGCCTAATTTCTATATTAGCAACTTTCTTCTTCATTCTCTGCTCGAAACGACGCCGTTCTGTCCCGACTCCGTGGAACCAGGCTTGTGAAGTGGAGCCGTTGCATAACGATCGGAAAATTTCGGAAACTCATCAGGAGATTCATCTTCTAAATCTCCGTCATCGAAGTTCAAGGCGTAGCTCAAAGGATCGTACTGGTATTTCCCGGTTTGACGGTAGCCTCCAGATCCGGGTTTGCTCCGGTTGAACCGCCGAATAAACGTCTTCCAGCGTGGTCCGGCAACGATCTCGGACCACTCGCGGATCTTCATGAATCCATGAGATAGAGAAGTGTTTCGCAAGCGCTCCCACCATGATAAGTCGTCGTCGGTGGTGGAGCGGTGGTAGGTGAAGCAGCAAGGGAAGCAGGAGGCGCGGCGCGTGGTTGTGGTGGAATATTCGCCGCCGCTGGAAGATGAATAGTGCTCCATTTAGTAGCGGCGCTTTGGTGGTGTTAATATTCGGAGTTATGCAATAGGGTACGAGTATTTATGGAACGTAACGGCTATAACGTTGCCAACCACAATCATCATCATTTAGAGCTATAGTGATTTGGTCAGCGGGATATTTTAGAATTGTGACGTGGCTATGATGGTAATGATAGGAGCCGTTGTAGTTTTGGCTTTAGGTCACAATAGGTGAAAATTTACCCACAATATATTGATAGTTGGATGACAGAATATGCTGCACTGTTCTGCCCTCATTACTGCATATCACAGCTGTCAAATCGGATTATCTTTAAAAACACTAGAAATAAATAATCAACAAAATTCAGATGTACATTTTATTAATACAACAAAATTCATATTAAAATTAGAAAATATTATGTGAGAAATAAATAATCAACATAATTTATGTTAAAACAATTTATGAACAAATTTCAAAGCACCAAAAATAAAGAATTAAATACTTTACATCAAAATTAATACTATAAGGTAATATTGTAAAATATAATTGATGGGATTATATTAACAATTAATTAGTATAATTAGTATAATTAATTATTTAAAAATTTTAATAGAAGTTAAAAGGTTACTGAAATGGGCCTGAATACGAGTATAGGCCCATTGAGAATCACCCAAACTCAAAATTTATGTGGTAAAACAAAAAAAAAATGTTTTTCTTAGAGACACAATGAATCGACAGTGTTAGGGTATCATAAATCACTAATTTTCTAAAGTTTGACGATGTCTTCCGAGGATTCCTCCATGATTCCAGCTCTATTTCTCAGTAGTTTTCCAATCGACGTTTATGCATTTATGGAGGAAACCAGATTAGGACAATCAAACACCGTGTTTGGAAGGAGAAATCGCGGTGACCCGACTTCAGACCTTAAAGAAAAAGGTGAGTTACAAATCGTTCAGGTGACGACAAGATCGACATGTAAGGATTCGAACAATCGATAGGACGCGGTCAGGCTTTGGTCGCACAAGGATAAAACGTTGGTTTACCTACAATGCGAGATGTGACAATGATTTCATCTGAAGGGTAAGTTTGTACAAGAATTGTAGTTAATCGTTATATTGTTGTGTGACTGTTAAAAAAACCAAATGAAACTCTAGGGTTTTGCAAATGATGTTAAATGTTATGAGCAAGATCAATTATTTTCCATAGGTAGTGTATGAGCATCAGTAATTGCAGTATACCCTTAGTATATAATTGTATTAAAAAAGTTGTTGTTATAGTAGGGTTTGATACACACACTAAAATATAATGAGTTAGCTAACGAAATGGTAGAATAATTTTAACATGTAAAAATTGATGTTGCTGTTCTGATAAGGAAAACAGTGACGAAGAACTGTTGGACTGCTGGGATGACTATGAGGTGAGGGAAGAATTTCTTGGTTCACTTGGAAGGGTCTATGTATGGAGAAGGAAGATTATGTCGTGAAGGGTTGCAAGTAAAAATGTCCTTGTAAGTCTTTTAGTATACAAAAACAAAGTTCTTTATCTGGTTATAGAAAGTGTTTAATTGATATCAAGAACTTTTGAATATGCAACAATTGCCTCAAAAAGTGATTCAAGATTGTCTAATGGTCGGGCACGAGGACATTATTCTTGTTGATTCAGACCTGCGTGGGGAAACCAACTGTGTGTGGCACCTTTCACAATGTGAAAAATGCATAGAGAGGTTTATAGGTCGTAAATGGTATGAATTCGTAAGGAAGCGGAAGCTCAAAAAAGGCGACAGGGTTGGATTTAGTTTGAGGGTCCCTTCGACTGAAAAATTGGTGGTCACGGTTTTGAAACGTAAGAATTCGTCAAATTGAATTCGTTGGTGGTAGGTTCCGTGTCCGTAGACGCCGATCCTGAAAGTCTACTAGTTATGTATGAAATTTTGGTATCATATATGTGATGTCGAAGGTGATGTCACGACACAAATATTTGTTTACAAGTAAAGTGCATTAATAACAAAAGCAGTAAAAATACAAGAGATTGTTCACTCAGTTCAGTGTACAACAACACCTACTCTGGGAGCTACCAAGCCAGGGATAAGTTCACTAAATAATATCAATTCATAGACCCTCAGTAAACAAACAGTTTACGATCTAATCACTTAATCACTACTCGTACTATACTTCTACCTAAGACTCACCTAGGTATGAGGCCCTCCTCAAATCCCTTCAATCACTTACAGTGAATAAACAATAGAAATAATAAGTTTTTAAAGACTTTAATCATTCAATACTTAAAAGCTTATGAATGATCCATAATTAGCAACTCAAATTACAACTCAAGTATTAAATAAATACTTAGAGTGTATTACAAATAAAAAGCCTTAGACTTAAAAACAGAAAGAAAGTATTCTTCTTTAAAAGTTGCACGTCTTTGAATAAGGAAGCAAGTCCTTATATATGCGCAGCTGTGGGCTTGGGCTTAAAACCAAATATTCAATTCTTTTAAATATTTCCATAAAAAAGGCCAAGATAAAATCCATGCAATTTGAAAAATATTGCTCCATATTTTTCGCAGTTTATGAGTCACAAATCCTGAATTATGGCGCGCATGAAAACAGGAAACATAAAACATAAACTGGTGTTGACTGAGTTCAGTTCAAGAGGTAGATGTCAAGACATCTGCTTTGACATCATTCAAAACAGTTCGCTACAAATGTCAAGACATTTAGCAAAACATTAACAACATATTATTTTACCAAAATTGCTGCCAACAAACACTTACAAACTCTCCCTTTGGAAAATTTTGGCTAAAACATTATCAGAGCATATTATCAGAGCAATATCAGAGTAGCAGCATAAGCAAAGTAAGCAAAGCACAAACTTAGTTAGCAATTAGCTGTTAACAGGGAAGATGACAGAACATCTTCAGAGACAAGAGGCTCCCCCTCAAGTATTGGGCTCCCCCTCAATCAGTGGTCAGTTAGTCAGTTTCTCTCCCCCTTTTTAGTCATAATATTCCAAATTCAAGAGAATATCAGTTATATAGGTACGGACCATAGAAACCAAATGTTAAGTACATACAAGGGCCAAAATGAAACAAAAGGGTCAAATAAAGAGACATCAATTAGTCTAAATATCGCCAGGGCCAGTTGACTTGGCTGAGCCAGAACTTCCTTCCTCACTAGATTCTTCACCTTCAGAGCTCACTGTATCATCAAGGTTGTTGTCCTTTTACAGGTCCTTGGTCATCTTTTCAAGAGTTAGCTTCCTTGCTGAGCTAACTCTGATCACATCATCTAATTCCTTGTAGGCTTCCCTTAATTCAGAGATCATGTCATCTTTGGTGGAGGTCTTGTTTTCAGCAGTTGCAGATGTCAAAACAATGTTTGGGACATGTTTTCCTGAAAAAAGCTTGAAGTGAAGGGTCAAAGCAGACTCCCTCTTGCACACCACATCATTACCACTTAGAATTCCAGGATGCTGATTAAGAATAATTCTACTGATGAGGGAAGGAAAAGCAATTGGCATCTTAATGGCACAAGTTCCTGCATGCTTAAAAGTCTGATCAAAGATGTAAGTACCATAATCAAAAAGTTTCTGATTTCCAACAGCATAAATCAACTTTCCTAATCCAATGGAGATGGTTGAAGTGTGATTAATGGGAACCTAATTTGCAGCTCCAATATTATGTAAAATAGCATATTTTACACTTAGCTTGCTGACAGGAAGTTTATTTTTCATGGGTCACTCACTTACTTGATTAGCAGGGATGGCTCAACACACTTGATTATCTGTTACTTCCAGCTCACAACAGACATCTTCAGACCTATCTAGAAATCTATTTATGATGGCAGGAGAAAATTCTACACACTTTCCTCTAACAAAAACCTTTCTATACTCCTTACTTTTATGGTCAGCACAGTCAACAGGAATATTAACAATTAACTCCTTAACAAGAGTTTCATAGCAATTGGCAAACCTGGTAACTATTTTCATCAATCTAGCATAAGTTATCAGCTCCATGATTTCTTTACATTCCAAAGCACCAGCTCCCAGTTCTCTCTCCAGGGAAATCCTTCTTTGATACACATACTTCCACTTTTCAGCATTCCCAACAGAATGAAAGGAGATGTTGTCAAGTGGGGCATCAAGAACCCTAACCGACAGTTTCTTACTTGCAGACTTTTTGATAGGAGAGATGTCCTGGACATCTTGCTCGACATCATACTCAGAGTCAGTCTCTTTAATTAAAACAACTTTCTTCTTACTCTTGGATCTTTTTACAACATCCTCATCCTCATCATCTGTGGAGATAACATGTCTAGCTTTTCTTTTGATATAGGGAGGGACAACTTTACTTCCTGCTTTTGGGGGTCCATACATGGTTTTATTCTTGATTGTCTTAGTAGGGGTGTGACACTTGCATCCTTCACTTTCCTGGATTTGAGTCTTCTTGCAATACCAGGCACAACATTAGTAATGAGCTCATTGTCAGACAACTCTTCTACATTGACTACATTCTCAGCATTTTGACCTTCTGCATCCTTGGAGGCAGTAGCATCTTATTCAACATTGTCATCAGCATCTTGTTCAACATTTTCTTCTTCCACTTCTTTTAGAGTAGAGGTAGCAAGCTTCTCAAGTTTTCTTTCAGCATCTTCTTTCTTGAAGGTGGATGATCTAAAAACAGCACTTTTAGGATCATTTATTTTGTCAACAAGAGGAGGCATACGAGCAATAGGGGTAGAAGTCCCAGGAACAACAAAGCCTTCATTTAACACTCTGTTTACTAGCCTTATAATGCTTCTATCAACATTAACAGTTTCTTCCTATATCCTATTGTCAGTAGTAGTAAGAGAGTTACATTTATCATCTTTGGATTTCTTAGCAGGTGATGATCTAGGTTTCTTGACCTTCTTATCAAGAGGTAGGATAGTTGCTAGAGGAGTAACGTCAAGTACTCTGTCAAGAGAGAGATTCTCATTGGCAGATTTTGAGGAAGACGATGTATGATGTTGAGATATCTTTGAAGA